GAACTCATCCTTTTTTATGGCTGCATAGTATTCCATGGTGTATATGTGCCACATTTTCTTAATCCAATCTATCATTGTTGGACATTTGGGTTGGTTCCAAGTCTTTGCTATTGTGAATAGTGCCGCAATAAGCATACGTATGCATGCGTCTTTATAGCAGCATGCTTTATAGTCCTTTGGGTATATACCCAGTAATGGAATGTCTGGGTCAAATGGTATTTCTAGTTCTAGATCCCTGAGGAATCGCCACACTGTCTTCCACAATGGTTGAACTAGTTTACTGTCCCACCAACAGTGTAAAAGTGTTCCTGTTTCTCTACATCCTCTCCAGCACTTGTTTCCTGACATTTTAATGATCGCCATTCTAACTGGTGTGAGATAGTATCTCGTGGTTTTGATTTCCATTTCTCTGATGGCCAGTGATGATGAGCGTTTTTTCTTGTGTCTGTTGGCTGCATAAATGTCTTCTTTTGAGAAGTGTTTGTTCATATCCTTTGCCCACTTGTTGATGGGGTTGTTTTTTTCTTGTAAACTTGTTTGAGTTCTTTGTAGATTCTGGATATTAGCCCTTTGTCAGATGAGTAGATTGCAAAAATTTTCTCCCATTCTGTAGGTTGCTTGTTCACTCTGATGGTAGTTTCTTTTGCTGTGCAGAAGCTCTTTAGTTTAATTAGATCCCATTTGTCAATTTTGGCTTTTGTTGCCATTGCTTTTGGTGTTTTAGACTTGCCCATGCCTATGTCCTGAATGGTATCGCCTAGGTGTTCTTCTAGGGTTTTTATGGTTTTAGGTCTAACTTTTAAGTCTTTAATCCATCTTAAATTAATTTTTGTATAAGATGCATGCGTCTTTATGACAGAATGATTCCTATTGCTTTTGGCATATACCCAGTAGTGGGATTGCTGGGTCAAATGGTATTTCTGTCTTTAGGTCTTTGTGGAATCACCACACTGTCTTTCACAATGGTTGAACTAATTTACACTCCCACCAATGTAAACATGTTCCTTTTTCTCCACAACCTCTCCAGCACTTGTTATTTTTTGACTTTTTAATCATAGCCATTCTGACTGGTGTGAGATTGTATCTCATTATATTTTTAATTGGATTATGTTTTTATTGTTGTAAGAGTTCTATATATATTGTGGATGAAAGTCCCTTTGTTAGATATATAATCTAAAAATATTTTTCTTAGGATTTTTGTAGCACTTTTTCCAGCCTTCTTTCAAAAGCATGTTCAGCCTCTCTTCAGCCTCTATCTTCAAACAGAGCCATGGTCTATCTCAGATAAACCTGATTCCAGATCCAGGCTCCAGAAAGCCCTGGTTTTTAGCTTTGGTTCCTGCTGTGTCCAATAGATGAGATGGTTATGAGCCCCAATCTGTCTTTCAGTTTTCTTTTTGATGTTTTGTCCATCATCCTTCAGTTTCTAGCAAAGAGCCTCATTCAGTTGCAAACTCACAGCATCAAACTGTCCTGAAAGACATCTGTCAATATTGTATATGGTGTGTGTGTGTGTGTGTGTACTTTTTAAAAAATGGTGAGGTTGGATCTATTGGCATTTTACTATTCTTTCTTCCTTTGATTTTATGCTTAGAAAGATCTCTATCTAAGAGAAGAGAAGCATGATCTTAAAATTTTTTATAACGGTTTCCTTCCTTCTTATTAGATATTTTAGATATTAAAATATCTTTGTGTCTCTTTCAGAGTATATTTAAATTTTAATTCTATCCTATTATTTAATTTTTTTAAATCCCTGCACCAGAAGCTGGAAGCATAGCTTGTGTGTGTGTGTGTGTCTCCTCTAAACCTAGCACAGGGCTGGTTATGTTATAGGTGCTCAACAGATATTTGCTGGATGAATTTATGATTGAAGGTTAGAACACGGGAAGGACACAGAGGGCAAGTGTTGTAAGATGCTGATGAGGACATTGTTGGAATGGCTGACAGTGACCTTGAAAGAAGAAAAACTAGGACCTGGCTTAGTGCCTGTCACATAGTAGGCACTCAATGCAATATGTAAGATGTGAAAAAGAGTTTCGAAGTGGTAAGCTCTATATGAATTAACTTCCTCCAACTGAATTACCCTCCCCTCTACTGTTGCTCTAAGCCACCTTAAAACTCTTAGCCAGCCCCACTATTCTTCTTTTTTTTTTTTTTTTTTTTTTTTTGCTGGAGTGCAGTGATGCTATCTTGGCTCACTGCAGCTTCCACCTTCTAGGTTCAAGTGATTCTTGTGCCTCAGCTTCCTGAGTAACTGGGATTACAAGCTCGTGCCACTGCACCCAGGTAAGTTTTATATTTTTAGTAGAGATGGGGTTTCACCACGTTGTCCAGGCTAGTCTTGAACTCCTGACCTCAGTGATCTGCTCACCT